CTTGTCCCTGCGGCCGGGTTGCCTAGCTACGGAATTGTGGTTCACCCTCACCTGACACAGGGGTCAAAGTGCTGCTTGATCTGTCCTACCTCGCCGACTACTTCACAGAAAAACACCTCTGCAACAACAACAACAACTTAAATACTTGGCAATAACTCACCTGCTAAATTAATTCCTGTTATTTTAGTAATTAAAAGTGCTGCTTGGCGCAATTAAACATCAATAAATCATTACTTAATTAATTTTGGGACATCCGTATTATTCCCTTCAAGAAACAGGAGCACTGCCAAGAAACTGAAAAGCCTCTACCTGCCTCTATACCTTATTTACATTTTGTAGCAGCAGGGTGGATTTTGCAGGAAACCTGCTGGATTCTCTCCAGCCCATTTATCCTCTTCACTAACATGAAAGATATGACAAATGCGCAACGCAATAGTCCTGCAATGCTTTGTTGCAGGGCTATTGTGTTTGATTGCATTAGGTTGCATGGGATTGCCCAATTGTGTCCATAACCTTATGGCAAGAGGCAATGGTTTGTAGAAAATTAAGAAATTGAGGAAATGAGGTCTGAAACTTAAGTGATACTATTGGCAACAAACCTGACCAGAGTCTTTGTTTACTGTTACACAGTATCACAATTAACTTGACAATGAAAATGCTACAGGGAAAACTTTTAACAAGCAGCAACTTCATAATAAGGAGTTTGCTGGTAATATTGCACAATGTCTTAACGCAGATAAATAAATAAATAAACACAGCAGATGAAGGGTTGTTGAAGTTGTTTATTTCTGAAATATTTGTGGTTATAAGGGGCTGAAAGAGGCATGAGTGGGCTCTACTTTCTCCCACATGGTATGGAGGAGAAGACAGACTCTCAGGTGTGGTCGAGGCAGTGCAGCACGCACAAGAAAAACAATGAGCCATTTTACATTCAACAAGTTTTGCTCCACGCCTCCTCAATCCACCTTTGCGTGGGCGTACGGAGAGACGGAGCGAGGACAGTGGCTGCTGTTATTGTCAACTGGATTAAATTAAAAAAAGATTTATTCAAAAGAGCTAAAAAAAAATAAAAATAAAAAACAGACAAAGGGAGTGGATGTGTAGCCTGAGGGGAGAGAGGAGTGACTGACAGACAAGAATGATTTTATTCTCTATGGCTGACTGTATAGGGGGGAACAGAAAGTGCTTGCCTTAGACACATGCATATGCACTGCCTTTTCTGATCTTAAGACAAATGTCACTATCAAGGCAGCAAACCTGCAGGAGTCCAAGTTTTCAGAGCTCAGAGGGGGGATGCAGGCATTACAGATGATGGTCTAAATCCTTCACTATTACACAGCCTTGTCAGACCCACCCGCTCACCAATATGTGACATCCCGGTCCCACCTCAATTCTGGAGGGACCCTCGACAAACACAGAGTGACCAGCTTCGACAAAGAAGCCCAAAACCCCACCAAAGGTTAGCAGTGACAGGAGGGCTTAGGACTACGCCACCGTTCTTTCATTCCCCATTCCATCTTTTCGCATAATCTCACATCTATCATTTTCCTCCAGGCCTGTCAGCTCGCAATTCAAACTAAAGCCCTGTTGGGTCACTGCAGCCTGACGAAACACACACACACACACACACACACACACACCCACACACACACACACCAATGTGGATGTCCACGCATACACCCGTATACGTGAGCATGCTCAAATGCATTCACCCTCACATACAAAAGCACTCACACATAGGCATGCATACATACATGTAGTGCAGTAAAGGTCACACATCCAGAGGTGGACAGTGTGATAGTGCATCAGACTTGGATAAACAACTAGTGGTGAACGTGGCAGCATATAAATCAGGTGCAGAGAGAGATAGTCTCCTCTCCACGGACAACTGGGAACTCTTATCTACAGTCAGTGTCACAGGGAGAGCGAAGAAGGGCTTTTGTCTTATGTGTACGCGTGTGTGTCTAACATGTGTGTGTTATTACATTATCTGTTACATGTTGTGTATATTTACGTGCTTACGAAAGAAGAACTGTATGCCAAGTCTCTTTTGTCTAGGTCTTTCAGAGCAGGTTGATCCCCTGCAGTTTATGATTCAACAATTTTAGACACTAGAGGAGCCTATTTACAGTTTTAGCAGGATTTGTTCACACTCACTTCAGACAACATTTTTCAGGTGCCCATATCTTTGTGAAGAAATGTTTATAAAAACATGATGTAGAAATTCTTCTCGTATGTATGTACAAGATGTTTAATTTTGTACAAAATTATAGATATAAGAAAGTGTAAAAGAATGTAGATATGTGTATGTCTTCCCATACACACACACACACACACATATACACACATATATATATATATATATATATACACACATATATATATATATATGTGTGTGTGTGTGTGTGTGTGTGTGTCTGTGTGTCACTGTGTGCGTGTTTTTTGTGAATGTATGATTGTATGTGTGTGGATGTAATGAGGTCATGGTGATGCAGTACTGTTCCAGTTGGGAGAGCTCCATCATTCTCAGAAAACTCTGGTGGGAATACAGCAAAAGAACGGCAGGGAACAGCTGTACAGCACACCTACGCAAAAAAACTACACACACACACACACACAAACTCATATTGCTCAAAGACACACACACACACACACCCTTCCTTCCCTTGAGTACCTACCTCTTTCACTTTAATTTATTTCTTTCAACATTGCCAAGGAGAGTGACCACACTGTACCACTGCTGCTGTATGAATGGAACAGGAGCACTGGCTACCTGCTGAAACCTATCTGTAGACTGCATGGTTAACTTACAAGTCTATTACCTCATCATCATTTCAGTGTCCTGACCCAATCACTTACTACACCAATTACTTTGCTCCATGTTGAAACAGCATCAACCTAAAGAACCTTTATGAAAGTAGGTGCTGCATATAGCTGTGACACATACATTCCCCCAAAGCCCATCCACTCCTGAGACCTTATTTTTCCATCTTGTCCCGCTGTCACAAAGTAATAACAGCTTTATCCTACAGATATCTGAAAATTCCCTGCTGATCTAATGTCATATGCACATGCACAACTCAAACCCATCAAAAGTCTCAATTAAATCTTCCAAAAGCGTATATACAGATGTTATAACCCCACACATCTTCTCCTTTACTATAATAAACCACACACTAATATCAGCCCTAACACTAATCAATCCTTAGGGCACTATCACTCTCTTTACAGCTGACATGAACTAGAATGGGGAAATGAAGACATTCTGATAAGAAAGATGTCATCTCCCACATTTTATAACATCCTCACATTAACATATCAAATGTTAATTCTATCAAGTGTGGATACGACCCCGGCTTTTCTTTCTTTCTTTTTTTTTTTCTTTTTAATCTCTCGAGGACATTTTTAACTTTGAGGAAATCAAACGCCTGTGTGAGACAAAAAAATATTTGCTCCCATTATTCAACAGAGGCCTCTGTCATGAGAGAGCGCTTTGAGGGAAGGCACACACATATTATGTTCACAAAAGATGTTCAAGATATGAGAGCATACAAACACCAGCACGCATGAACTCACACACATAAACAAAGATGGGCCAAACACGCCCTGTTAAATCCAATTAGCCCTGTGCTCTGATCCCCTCAATGCATCCCTGCCCCTGTCTTGTAAGACCAGACCTTCCCGCCATTTCATTAGCACACACTCACGCACACATGCACGCGTGCACACACACTTGCGCACACACATGCACACAGATTCTCCCCCTTCCTCTACCTTTCCACCATTGTAATCCAGTCACAACACTGCTAATGCACCTCCTATAATCCAATCCTCCAATCACTGCTCTCCGTGCAAAGGCCCGCATCACATGACTACCCGCACGTTAGCCCAACGTTCACTCGCAGTTAGCACTGTCATTTGGCACTAATGTTATTCCATTTATTTTTTTCCTTTAATGTGATTTGGAAAGTCTCAGCTCCGGCTTCCACCAGTCTAGCGCTAAACCCCTGATGGACTGGGCTAATCACTTTCCAGCATTTCTGAGGGAGACAATGATCCCAGTGTTAGCGCTGGCTAATGACAAGCTAACACAATTAGCCTAGCCTCCCAGGAGGAGAGCTCAGAGCCAGGGCCCATTCTTGCCCCACCTCCTGCGGGCTCCTCATCCACTTTCCCTACATTACTATGGAGCCTAATGGTCTCTTATTAAGAAGACAGATGGAACACGGATGGGGAGGGATCCAGCATCTTCTTGAGTTACATTTATGTGTCGGAAATGTGGTACATTCATGACCATTTGGATGTTTAATATTACCTCCTGTGCTAACAGCTTCAATGAAGTAATCATTCTTTTCACTGCAAGGTGTGGTGGCAAGATTGGTGGTACTCACAATATAACAAAGAAAAAAGAGTCTAAACTATTTGAAAACCAATGTAGAATTCTTTTCTGCATCACAGAGGTTATCTTTTGTCTCTTAATATAGTAAATGCTAACCATATTATAACACTGCAGCAAATTAGGTTAAAGGTCCGGTTGAAGATAAGGTTTTACACTCCTCTAGCACTAAAATATTAAAAGAGCACAAGAAAAGCTCTGTCAGCTATCATCCAAATGCAATCAGGCTTATCAGTGAACCGCATCATCAACATCAGCTAATGGGTCGGACTAATGTGGGTCTGATTGAAAGAGGTAGGTTAGAATGTGGCTAGCATAATTCAATAGTGAATTCACTGGTCGGTCAACATGGACGTCTAATCTTTTGTGAAAGCATAATTTTTCTTCATGTACCAGTCAGTACACATGAAACTTGCCAAGATCCAAGATCATGAACCAACTGTGCGTGAGAATAAAAGGCTTGTTGTAAACAAATCATTTTTAGAGAAAGAAAGCAATCGTGAAATAATATTTTTTATGCGGGTAACACTAAGAAACAGGTTAGCAATTACTGATAGGTGATCTAAAGTTTTTCATCTACCTTGGAACAACGGTCTTAACTTACTTGAACTTGGCATTCACTTGGTCTGCAGCTTGATGGTAATTCTCTGTGGTGACCTTGTAGAACTGAGCACTCTGCAAAGAGACAGACAGAGAAAGCACCGAGTGAGAGAAATGAATGAAAATGTGATTCTGACCTTTTTTATATATATATATATATATATAAAAAGTCCATCCAATTTATTCACATCTTCACTCCTCTCAGGTTGGAGCCATTTAGGCCAAAAGAAAACATTTCAACAGTGTGACACTTCTTAATATAGTTCTACCTACAGCATAGCCCAGCCTACACAACTCTGCCTCATTGGCCGTCACTCAAACATCATTAAAACATGACTGAGAGGGATATAAAGGGCAGAAGTCAATTACCAGTTGGGTTTATTATCCGCAAAATGGAGGCTAACTCTGTATTGTATGTGGTGCTGGAAGATTTTTCTATTATGTTGTTTTGAGCGTGTGCACACACTACATGTGTTCCTCTTTGTGTGAGCACGTGAATTACAGGGTTTTTTGTGTGTGTATGTGTGCGCTTGTGCTTATCCTTTCACAAAAAGACTGCTGTAATAACAGGCAGCAATCCTGTAAGGTCAGAGGGTCGCTAGTCAACAACGTACAGACCACCGGTCATAATCCCCTGGTGACCCATAGCAAATGAACCCATAGCAGCACCACTCAACCTGAATTACCTCCTCAAACATAGCCATACAACCCGGCTCCTACACCATTTATACTACTCTAGGAAGATCTGTTTTGTCTGCCCTCAGTGGCTGCTATGTACATTTATGATCAAATGGTGAGACGTAGTAAAGTGTGATGGATAGCTTGATTGAGTCGTATGAGGTTTGATCCATGTCTTCTGCTGCCAGTGTCTTCAAATTAAGAAGACATTAATAATACTTATACTTGCACATAAAAAAAGAAAAATTCCCCAAATATGATTGTATTTTTGTTTTGTGCCATTCCCTGTTTGGTTGTTAAGAGCCACAATCAACCCAGGACTGTGTATAAGATATCTTATCTACTGGAAACCAAAACCTTAAATGATTTTACATAAATTATAGCTACATTAGAAATGTGATAGATCCAAGTGTCTTGGTCCTATCTGCCCGAACTCAAGCCCCTTGCAGGGAAGGCATTCATCATTGTTCAAAAAAGATCAATAGGAATGAACTGCACTGCTGAAAAGATCAATAGTGATGTGTTGTAGAGCTAAAAGAAGATGGGACATGACAACGCTGATAAAAGGTCTGATACAGATTTGAGTCCTCTTCATTTGGACAGACTCTCGTACAGAGGATCCGCAGGATTCAAAGTCCCTCACTTTTTCACATTCTGCAGTTACAGAAGTAATTCAATTGCATTTCTTTGGCATCAATATGAATATTGTTCTCTTTAATAAAAAATCAAATTTTTAGATATGCAGATAGCACATATAGTATATACTTGATAAATGTGCTGCATTGTCCTGAAACAAAGAACTACACTTATAGATACATTTTGTATCCTATTATCACTCTTGACATGTTCACGTGTGTCAAATTTAAATGGACTTGAAATGATTGATGTCTATGTAACGTCCCAGGCCCCATGAGTAAAAATTAAGTCATGAAGTACGAGAAACCCTCCTTTCATTTCCATTGACTGTTCAAGATTATTTTTGATCATTTCAAATATTGAAGAAACTATTTCATAGAAAGTCACTTTGTCATGGAAAGAGTAGACATTGCAAAACATCTCGTAGGACAAAAAAGATCCTGCATGAAACGTATCAGACAACAACATGTAATACTTCACCGACCCACTGCAGTTGTCCCTCAGGCAGACATTGTATTGTATGTAAAACACAGTGAAAGAGCATTTTCCAAAGTTTAAGAGTTAACTTGTAAGCTCATGCTGTATCTGTGCCCTCTTGGCCTTGAATCAAGTGGTTTTCGGTGTAGACAAAGAAACTGTCAGAGCTAAGGAAAAGGATTTAAAACTGAAGCTTATTCAAAGATAACAAAAAGACTAAAAAGAGATTTTGGGAGCTGCTAAAGAGGCAAGAATAAGACTTCTCCTGAGCGCTGAGATTGAGCCATTGGAAGAGAAAGTGGGAGACAGAAAGGGCTGGATTTGGGTCTCTGTCTGGAATACTAAGTATTAGGTAATAATACCTGCCTAAATGGCAGAGCTGGCACTAATCAGCGCACTAATCCACCTGGGAGGACAAAAGGCCATGTGTGACAATGATTGCAGGACCACTTACAATACACGTACACACACACACACACACACACACACACACACACACACACACACACACACAAACGCGCACACACACACACACAAACAATGCACCTCCATTTACGTACACACCTACACCACAAGGTACTAACACACACAGCATGTGTGGACGTGCTGCCAAAAGCCTAGATATCCACATATAAACAGTGCCACACAAAAACGGGGGGGAAAAAAAGAAAAAAAAAATTCACTACCAGACAGAGAGTAGTGTAATTTGAGTGATTACTGAGTGGTCTCAAATTGTGATTTCCTGCTGTTGCCCCAACTGATTTCAAGCATCGCTCTGACCTTTTATTGGCCCTGAGAAGAGAGACCACGCTTAGGTTTGGTTGAAAACATTCCTCCCTTGACCAAAATGAAAGATTTTTTTTTGGGCTGTAAAACATGGCCTTGATTTAAGTCTCAGAGAAAAATTTTTTTTTTTTTTTTGGGCATTTTTGCCTTTAATTCAATAGTTGCAGCGACAGAGAGGGACAGGCAAGTCAGGGAGAGAGAGGGGGGATGACATGCAGCAAAGGGCCGCGGGTCGGATTCGAACCCGTGCTGGTGCAGTTGGGACAAAGCCTTCGTGGTACGCGCTCCACCAGGTGAGCCACCAGGGCACCCGAGAAAGATATTTTTTTGATCACTGCTGAGCAATTCTTTGTCAATGGATAAACAACCGTGAAGCTACAAAAACCTGGTGCTGTGTATATCCCCATGTGCAATCAAGTGCTAACCATTTCTTGAATACAACTGTTTCTGTTTGTTTTCATCCTATTTACTCCATTTGCTTTCCACTAGGTTTTGAGCTCATCTGAAGCCAAACAAAATGCTGGTGGGGGGTGTCATAGACAAATTAAGTCATTACTGCTAATGCACTCCAGCGATATGGAGAAGATAGAAGCTGCACCCAAACACAGGCTCCAGCTCAATTTAGAGAAAAAGCCTCCAATTTTTAATGAATAAAACAAATAACTCCTTGTATTGATGGCTCCTTTCTCTTATCTGCTGCTGAGCAGGAGGGCCGAAATGGGGAGACACCCCACCATGGCTAACATTACTGTTCTGCAGAGCTAGAGAAAATGAGGCTTCTGCAGTGTGACTCAGTGCAACTTGCTCATAAGGAGACCAAGGAGGCTGGTAAATTGTTATTGAACCTATCCTGCCTACACAGAATTGACTAAGCATTTCAAGCTTTGCCTAAAGGGACAAGACAACATCCCAGGGTGGAGATGCACAAATATGACACAGTTAAAACACAAACACACTCCCACATTCAGTGTGTTCCTCGCTAGCTAGCTTACAGCTAACATCTGTGCAGTTGCCACATTGGCTGTTAGGGTCGAAAACACAAAATCGATTCTGTGGACAAAAACTTGCAATGCTGTGATATAAACATATAAAAATGTCAGATTTTGCTTTTACTGTGGGTTATGAGCAATTTCTCGGCTAGGCGGAGTCACTTCCTGGAGTCTCTGTTGGTTGCCTGACAACCTCAAAGAGACAAGCTCCTTCCTTATGTTTATAAAAAGCAATTTAAAGTTTTTAGTTCTTTAATTCACTCTGTTAGGTGTTCTGTATATATCAAAAGTTTGAGCAATAGAAAGCTGGCTACTTTTACATCAAAGTAAAATGTGTCTACCCTCATTTTCATTTTCATTCATGAAGAAGAAAAAAAATTTTCACATAATGTCGTCCAATACAATTATCATTGCTTGAATCAACATCTGACTTAGTTTGAACAAAAACTGAGCCATACAAGTGAACATTTCAAAATTTGTGTCTTTGCATTCATTATTTTAGCCTGTGGAGCGTTACCACGACAGGATTTTCTCTCTCTCTCTTTTTTTTTTTTTTTTTTTTTTTTTTAAAACATAAATGAACGTGCTGCTCTGTTGTTGTGAAATCATCATTCCTTGAAAAGACTTCCTGTTAAATCTCTGTGAATCCCATCATGCGGCTGTAACAGCAAACAGTCTGAGACACAATAATTCAACACTGCAGCACAATGTCATGTCTTCACTTCGGATTACTGTGTCTCCAGTTATGCACCTAGCAGAGCCAGAGAGACTACATTGATCGCTTCATAGTGAAACTGAAATTCTAAAACATCTTTTCCTGCTACGATACAGCAACAAGGCAAGAAAGAAACAACTGTTCTCATTCTTGAATTTGAATTTTTATCACACGAGAACCAAAAATGCACTCAAAATATTAGCTTCCGTCTCCGGCGAGAGAGAGAGAGAGAGAGAGAGAGAGAGAGAGAGAGAGAGAGAGAGAGAGAGAGGGCAAGAAGATTGAGAGGGAGAGGGATACTGAAAAGACAGACAGGGGCTGAGATGAAGATAGCAAGTCAGAGGCAGAGACAGAGATAGAGATAGAAGCCATTACTGTTTTTTTTAATGCTCTTTCCCCCGTATTTCTTCCTTTCACAGTGCTGTGGAACTTTGCTATGAGATGGCAATTGCTGCTGTGATTGTCCTCCATGGGAGAGCAGAAAAATCCAATTTCATCGATATACAAGGCGAAAAGAAAGATAGAAAAAAAGGAAGAAAAATCCCTTCCAAAAAAAAAAGAAAAAAGAAAAAAAAATTAAATTGAGGCAGGGAGAAAAAAAAAAAAACAACACTTGAAAAAGAAAAGCTGAAAAAGGAGAGATATAGAGACAGATGTGGTAGGCAGTGGTGGAGGGGGGGATGGAAAGAGACATGGTTGAAAAAAAAAAAAAAAACATGGGCAAGTTGATTGTTAAATATGAGATTGTTTTACAGCGGGGCAGGTATTGAGTGAAAATGTAATAAATATATAGATATTGTTTTCAGGGGCTATTTGGTAGCTGTGGCCCCAATGAGCGGCAGCAGCAGAGGCAGCAGGCTGAGCTGTCTAGGAGCCTGGTGATGGCCTGTCACTGGAAGCCCCTCTGATGAATGGCCATGTTGGATTGGAACAGACGTGTAATATATATCAGACTTATATTCTCTCCCTCTCTCTCGCCCTCTTTCGGTTCCTCTGCCTCTTTCTGGTGGTGAGCAAGATGCTGAGGGGAATCCTGAAGTAAAGGGGAGGAATGCAGGGCAGATGGAGGGAGGGCATGGTAGATAATATTAAGCTGGCAGTACACTCCAACTGAAATCAAATTTGGTGCCTTCTCACTAGAAAAATGCAGCCAAAAAGCAGCACAGCGTTGGGGTTTGATTGCTGCAGTGTATGCAGACTGGTTAGAGGAACTACTTGCTCACAGCCCACCGATAAACCATCACTTGTGACTGGTCAACAACGTCAACAGTAATTGTCCTGGGTCATACATTCTGAAGTTAAACAAGTTTATTATACAGACATACCTTATTTCAACTCCCCCAGTTTGGGTTGGTGCTACAGGGGCATGGTGCGTCACAACACAACACGCCACACGCCGCCACCACCACAACTGTTTCCTTTCACACACCATCACTCTCATGAACATTTCAATCAGCCATGTGACACCTCAAAACCTCAAAACTCAAAATCATCTTCTTGCACTCACACATATTCTAGTGTAATATAGACATGCCACGGAGGCCTGCGCATAACAATGCTGCAACTAACAATTTTCATTATTGATTAATATGAATTACATTCCTACTAATTGCTAAGTCAATTTGTCTGTCAGAAGATAGGGTTAAAAAAAAAATGCCCCTGACAACCACTCAGATCCCAATGCAGTGTCATCAAATGCCTTGTTTATTCCAACCAAACAGTCTACAAGCCAAACATATTCAATTTACATTGATTGAAACCAATAAAAGCATCAAAACCGCACATCTGAGAATCTGAAACCTGAGAGGTATTTTGTTCTTATCGAATCAAAGCAGACCGTCTATACTGTGAATACACCGTCTCCATCAATAGATGCACACCAGCCATCTTTGTTTGTAGAGAAACCCACAAATTGACCAAACACTATTTATCCCAGCATTCTTTGCACTGATTGTATGGTGGCTTTAACTGGAGCACAGGACCAAAACTCTTAATATTCAGTACATAGTATGAATTTGAGCTGGATATGGGTACTGTCTGTAGCTGTTTTATACCTATGCTCAAACCTACTCGCGTGTATATAGGCTACATGTTCATGATAAATTTGTTAAGCCTTACGTTTGTATTTGTATCTTCCTGTAAAATTGTTTTCCGTACCGTTTTTATGTTTTGAGCACCTTCATCTGGTATTGATGCTTTTAACCAGGCAGGAGTAACGGTGAGTACCAAAGAACAGAACATGCCAAAAGTGATCTTGTTTGGTATTCTGCTGGGTTTACGCTGGGTGAGGAGAACAGGGACTGAGAGCCAAATGGGGCACTGTGGCCAGAACAAGAAAAAGGAGTGTTATTAACGCAGTCCAAACAAACTGCACCCCCTATGGAGCCCCGAGCCGCTTTCTGCGCAGTCAGACAGGCAACATGCAATATGGCCACCATTGATCCTCAGTTACCCACAGGATCAACTATTGTCACACAACACGCACACATGGTCGCCACTTATGCTGTGTTTTTCCTCGCATGTGGATTATGTGGATACAGTGGTTTGGAAATATAATTAATTTATTGTTTCATTCTTGTGCTTAAAATCAATACATAAATGAAATGTGCATTATCACAGACCCTGCACCTCACATCTACCAGTTTCTCACAGTCACCTTGAATTTTTCTACTATTCAGTGAAGGGGTTGTAGTAGTCCTTCAAGCTTTTCTTGACCATAGTCTCTTTATCTATCCGTTGACATTTTATCTTCTTATAGCTCTTCTGCTTTCTTTATTTTTCTTGTTCTTTTCCTCTATCACTCATTCACAAATGTCACTTTATCATAGTTTCTTCTAATACATTCTCAGGTAGAGTCTTGCCTGTCTCTTTTCCTCTTGCCTTTTCTTGTGTCGAATCCTTTAGCTTCTGTCTTCAGTACAGTATCTCTCTCCTCCGTCTATCTCAATCTTCTGTCTTTCTGAGGTGTGAAGGTGATTTGTTGACACTTTGATCTAAGGAATATTGACCAGAGGCCAACATGGCTGATGGATGGCCAGCGCCTAGAGTCGATAATGCCTGCGTTAGTTGGAGCTCATCACTTCTACCATCAGCACTCAAATTTGCTCCTATACAGTACGATACAGTAGAGCTACACGGTCCAAAGAGAAACACTGTACAGCTGCAATCTAGGAAGGTTCAAGTGCAAGAAGGGAGCATGTCTACATCTTATATTATTTCAACTTTGTTAGTTTGCCGAGCCATCAACCAACTAAAGCAATTTTGAAAGAAAGTGACAGTTGCTTTCTTCACAAATCCATCGATTAATTTACACCTTCCCCTGTTGTCAGTAAATCCTCTACTCTCCGCTGCCCAACCAAAATTGCACAGACCAATGCACTTCCAATTATTGACAGAAGTCCACTGCCACTCAATACCCACTGGCTTGACTTAAGAGTTCATCCTCAGTGAAGGAAGGAAATTTTGCAAGCTTTATTGACCCAAAGTGCGAATGTCTTGTGTACAATAGGAACAAATCCACAAGGATGGTCATGTGCCGCTCTTTTAATCAGCTAAGAAAAACATTAAGGAATGGCAAAAAAGATAAGTTCATTTAAAGCAAATTCATTAATAGTGATGTGTGCACATGCACGGGTAAGCTTACACAAGATAAGAGACCATCTTTTTACCACAAAATCACATTTGAGCCATATGGATAAACACAAAATCATTTCACACTGAGGTCCTTTAGAGGACAAAGTACCCATTGAGTATGTGATACTTCTGTCACCCTTTTATTCATGTGAGCTTCTAAGAATAAGAATATGTGGAGTGCCTCCATCTTCCACAATGAATATCTGGCCTCACAACAGTGTGAAATTTCGATTTGGCTTTCACTGTAAAGGGCATTTGACTTTTTGCACCCTCCAAAGGGGAGAAAACTCCTTCCCAGCATGAAGGTGTTATTTCAAGCACATTAAATAAGGGCATTGTACCATTCCTAAGACACACTTATGATTTGAGAGCAGCATGAGACCGTCCTTTTTAACACACTTTAACAGGGCATTTGACCCTGGTCCCCTGCCTTGCAGGCATCTCGCACTGGGACCAGCATGGCGCTGCCATTTGAAGGGGGCTAAGCACGGCAGCTGACCCTGGTCCCCCTCCACAGGACACTGGTTTGACAATGAACATCAGGGTAGTGTCATTTTCAGGGACAGGAGGACACACACAGAGATGAATGAGATTTAACTCTTTATCCTTCAGGCAGAGGAATTTAAGGCAGAAATTAAAGAAAAAAAGGGAACAGAAATTGAGCTGAAAGACAATTATGGAGGGAGAGAGAGAGAGAGAGAGAGAGAGAGAGAGAGAGAGAGAGAGAGAGCGAGCACATTGGGGAAAGCATGTAGAGTTTATATTGAAGGATGCCAACAAAAACAGTGGGGCAGTGGGATGAAGAGAAAGAATAAATGTGACTGTATTTTGGTTGAGCCCCATAGTGACCGAGCTCACTGTGTATGACGGCTGAATTATGTGCATGAATCTTGTGTTCTTCTTTGTGTGTGCACTGACGTGTGTGCTTCTGTGTGTACTGTGTGTTGATGACTGCATTATACATTAATAGAGCTCTGTTATCTGGTATCTGCATCCCCACCCATGTTAAGATCACCAGCCTGGCATGTGGTAGAGATTTCTGATTTATCTCTCAACACATCTGAGAAAATAAGTTTAAAAAAAAATAGAAAATCAGTTTTTCCATTTCTGTTTGACAATTAAGCTCAGTGAAGGGTTATCAAAGCCATATTGATTAAACGAATGAAAACAAATTATTATTGTAAGATGAATCAGATCATCACTTGATTTCTGCAGTGAGTGGTAGAGCCTGGTTTTGTGAGTTGGTTCATACATTCACCCAGGTGCATTTTATCAGGCTAGTGTCTGGTGCAAACATTTTCTCACCCTCTCCTCCAGCCGGGCCACCTGCTCTCTGTAGAAAGCATCCTGCTTCTTTAAGTCTGCTTCTCTGGCCTCCAGCTGCTTGGCCTAAACACACACACACACACACACACACACACACACACACACACACACACACACACACACACACGCACACACACACACACACACACACACGTACAACATACAGCATACACACATGCACACGAGAGAAGAAAAACCATTACTTACGTGCTCAGTGGAGCGTTGCCAATTTTAACAAACCAATCAAAAAACACATTCGTACACAAGTATACATACACAGGAGAGAGGCCCACAATGATGACTCAAACAAGTGTGTATAAAGCAGATATGCATTACAAAACAACAAAGATAGAGGCTTTTTGTTTGTTGGCATAGATACACCAAACTGTGAAACGCTGTGTGAATGTGTGTGTCGTGCCAGCGAGCATGGACATACATCCAGAGAGGATCTGCCTGGATTGGAATATGTTCACATACACCTGTGTGTCCATGTGTGTGTGTGTGTGAGAGACTGATCATGCCTTGGCAGGTACTGTATGAGCTTCTTTGTCCTCTTGTGTTCAATCTTCAGCCAAACCGCTATCAGGCCAAGAGGATAACATCAGTTCTCAGCACGAAGTAGCACCACGGTCTGGCGTATATATTTAGCCAGCCTACCTATCTCCACTGTCCTCCACTCTACTATGACCTTCACTAGATGTACGGCTGACTCTCTGGGTGATATACAGGACAGATAAGACCTGGGTGTATCTGCTATCCAGAGAAAGAAAAGAAAAGAAAAAAAAAAAAAAAAAAAAAAAAAAAAAAAAAAAACACCTTTACGCTTCAATAGACACCCAGTGAAGCAAATAGTAATGAAATCAAGCATTGAAATTTTAATAATAGTGATAAAAGTTCAACTTTCTATACAGGCTAGACAACAGTTTTCAGGACCACATATTTTTAATTGTGAATTTACTTCTCATCATTTACTTGTGATGAGACGATGGCTATGGATGATAAAGCAGCAATAAAACAGGATATTAAAACTGGTAGAATTGGGGTTCGGTTGTTGACATCATTTTACATTTATTCAGTTGTTTTACCACTTGTTTAATGTTAAGTTGAAGAGACGTTTACTGACTTGAGCGAGTTGTTTCATTCAAACGTGGTCGGCATATATCTAGAAAAAGTAGGTTTTGACTGGAGAATATAAGGAGTATATGAAATAAAAAGACATGGAAAGCCTTTAAACAAGACACAGAATTGTGTTAGTCAAAGCCACAGTGAACTTCAGGACCCAACCAGGAACATTTTCTATTATTGTTCCCTTCTGTTAATAAGTCTTCAGAAAGAGGCTGAAGTCGCCAGCTCATCTATAATTCTATAAAGAATTTGGAGCAGGAAAGCTGTAAGAAAAAGGATCATCAAAATACGGAGGAGCTGAAATACCTGCTGGAAAGAAAAATGTAACATGTCAAAGAAGTTGAAACTGAAAAGAAATTCCTTGACTCCATCATGCAGAAACAGCGAGAGAGAACTGGAGAGTCGTGGAGAAAGTAAAGGCCTCTAGACTTACCTTCTGTCCTATCTCCTGAATAAAGGGAAGCATTGAAAAAAGAAAAAAAAAAAAACAAGAGAGAGAATAAGTGTAAAGAGGCACTGATTCATCCATGAACTTCTTCAAAGTGACATTTGGAAAGGTTTAGTATTCAGAGGGTAGGGGTGACTGGCTGCCACACCGTTCTGCTTGAATTGTCACACTCCATCCTTTCAGTCTCCTCATTCACTGGCATATACACACAGCAGTGCATACACATACAATACATATATAGTATATAATCATAAACCATGTGCACTGCTCATACGCAGTTACATAAATATAAACTCAAACACACACATCACCATACTGCTGAGGACTGCCGTATGGAAAGCAGCCATGCAGATCGAGCCTTGACGCCTTTGCTTTAAGCACTATAGGATGCTGAAGGAGACGAGGAGTATGAACAAAATACAACGTATAGAGAAAAAAAAAAAAAATTGCATTAACCCGTCCAATCTCTACAACACTGATAACCATCTGCGTTCGGCTGCTCGACGCAGAGCAGGCGGAGCTGTGTGCTCTATGCATTGTGATGAGTGACGAGGAGTGTCACAGAGTGGCTGTCCACGCATGACATGACTGGGGGGAAGTTTCAAAGTCAAGGGGGTGCTACAAGCTTATCTATTACACACACGACAGAAACCTACCAACCAACACTAGCAAACATGCACGCACGCACGCACACACACACACACACACACCTCCAATACCATAGCCAAGTTGCTGCCGTCTCTGCTGTCCTCAGCACAACCTAACATTACCCTTATGATGCAGTCAGACAATTGTCTCCTTTGTGTCCCCTTACAAGTCTCAAGTGCTATTGTGTAGCCAATGTTACACAAAAGCTAACGCTGTCTTGCACTTCATGATGGAATCAAGTTGGACTTAAACCTACATAAATGATAGTGCTGGGTGAACATAGTCTGAAGTATACTCTTAACAGTATGGCATAAGTACTCTGCAAGTAGCATTATTATGACCTTTAAATTTGTTATTGATTGTCCTTAAATGTGTTAAATGTGTTATCGAATGTGCAATCAGAGCTTCTAAGACAGACTGGCAAAGTTTTTGAAAGAATGGATTACACTGGCTGAGGTGCCAAAAAACTGTCTGCCATCAACAGCTCAATTTAGCAGGAAGACAAGAGGCATGATGGGATGGAAGGAAACACGGAGGAGAGGATTGGCAGGGGGTTGTGTACTGTCACAAGTGTGTCCAAACTCAATGTTACGCTGATAGGTGGCGACCAAAGAGTTTAGCTCTGCAGAGAAAGACAAAAGATGCACACAGACGCCGAGTCACAAACAACGGCTCAGACACTGATCTGAAACGCACACATCATCACACACACACACCCGCACACACACCCGCACCAGCCGGAGCAGCTGTACCCACAGAGAGCGGGTGGAGAGATAAATGTGTGCTGAAGGCGAGACTAAAGGGGTCATTAAAAGAAGAGAGGTTGTGACAGAAATGTGTACCCAGGGATTTTCTTTTTTGCTCACTTTTATATGTGTGTGTGTGTGTGTGTATATGTCTATGGGTAAATACACCCATGCATGTGTTCAATTTTCATGCAAGCAGGTTGGTCCTCCTCTTTGCAACACACACACACACACACACACACACACACACACACACACACACACACACACACACACACACACACACACACACACACACACACACACACACACACACACACACAATTTCAGGATTACTTCCGACTGATTAACCCCATTCAGCAGACGTTAAAGATAATCTAATCATACTAAAGGCCAAACAATGGAACAGACTTCACCACTGCCCATACACCTTTTGTTCCCCTAATGAAGAGGCGGTCGCGGGTGGAGGAGGAGAGCTGGCATACGGGTGGGGGGAGGAATAGGAAGGGCAGAATTAGACAAGAAAATGGAAGTGAACTTGAGAGAGGAAAGAACAGAGAGATAAGACACAAAGAGGAGTGGACAATAAAAGGTGATTTATCATTGGAGGTGTCAAGAATGGAGAAGTGGCTGGGACATGAAGCCTGAAGTGTGTCTCTATAACTTTAGAGAAAAGTTAAAGAGAGAAAATTATCACCAAGTATGGATAGGAAGGGAGCTCCAGCTTTGAAAGCCAAGACAACGATAACTTTAGTGGAGGAGATGAACACAAATGAGTAATTCTAAAACTTTGCAAGTCCAGAGGATGATGTCATTCGTTTGGGTTAATTCACTAATTTTAATTCAGCCTCTTACTCCGTCTAATTTTCCTGTGCAGCAACCCTTGACATAGGGAAATAAAATACCCCGGTAAAAATACAAATACTCATGACAATACCCCCCCGAAGGGGTGAGTCCACATACTGCTATTTGTAGCCCAGGAACCCACATTAACATCAACAGCAAACTTATACATTCCCCCTTCCCCTATCTATCTCCCCCTGGTATATTATTAAGTACAGTAGCACAATAGCTGAGGGTGACAGGCGGCTGAGAGTGAGGCCGTGGTGGTCAGATTAAACGGATCGTTTAGGCGAGGCAAACGCCTCTGTGAATATCAATTAGCCAGCCGCTGAATAATTAAGGACAGCCATGTTTTTTAATTAGCCGACTGCCGCAGTTTGAGCTGGGAGCGAGGGCGGGGAGAAGAGGGGAGGAGAGAAGGAGAGGAGGATGCAGAGGGATGAAAACAGGTGGATTTTGCTGCGTCAGGCCTCCCCCACCCACGGCCTGTTCGCTCACTGATTTGCTCTCATACACTCTATTTCTTTCACACCTGCTTTTGCCTTTAAAGTGTTCTCTGACACAGGCTTTTTTCTTTTAAAGCATTCCAAAGGACTGAAATATAAAATGATTCCTGACTGCAGTGTTCAGCAGGCTTAGGGCAACTCCATGTGAGGGTATACATATGGGACTTCTTATAATAAAGACATATGGTGGATAACACAGTTACATCACATTTCTACGCCTATTTTCCATGCCTATATTATCCCAACTCAAACCCAACTGAACTCAAACAAAAACAATAAAATAGACACTACAGTATATTAGAAGAGATGCCAATTAATGTTCAAGGAACAAAGGAGAAGGTTAGATGACATTGTTATGGAGTGACAGAGTCCACATAGGGATGAGGCCGGGGTGGATGGATGGGTCACCATGAGACTTAACTTTATCACAGAAGGCAGTCAATGTCGGTTTCCATAACCTTAACCACATGGTTATTACTGTAACCATGACGATGAAGGTCCCCTACCATTCTTGAGAATGGACATATTTTGTCAATTAAGTCTGAGGACTTGATGCTTTAAAATCAGAAATTCTAGAGTAAACGTATCAGTTTTTAGACTTATACAGTGTAATATAAAACCAGCAGACTTAGTATTGAGCAGTCATGCTCACTGTTTTGATTCCCTCCTGTCCCATTCATCATCTTGTTACAACTCAGACATGTATTGCAACCACTTTGGGGTTTCCTGACCACTTCGTTTTTAACT